GCAGACAGACCCACGTCAAACTCGTGAAGCTGCCAAAAATCCCTTTAAAATGATTGAACAGATGTCTTTCCTTGGGGTCCAGCGGATATAAATCACAACAGCCTGCTTTCAATTCCTGGGCTCTGTGTCTTAGGGGCAACAAAATCAATCATTTTCAGGTTTGTTTTCTGAATGTTTTTTAAATCTTCAGCATTATAATGGCAATAACTACTACAGTATGCAAGAAAATGTAAATACATCTGTTCAGGTAGCTGCATTTCTTCCCTGGACACAAGACTTCTTGTGTGATGGTGGAACTGAACAGACCTTCTGAAACTGGTCTTCTTTGTAGCTAGGCACCACCAAGGTCTGCTCTGCAAAGGCTCAGGAGGAGAAATGAAATGGTTCCTGACCCTTAGAACCAGAGGCTCGAATGGCATACAACTGACACAGACAAGGCCCACCTAGAGCAGCAGGAAGACCGGGGTGTTGTCATTCTCTGCACGAAAGGAAGGGAACTCTGGACATTCCAAAGTCAATCAGGGCTCGAGTCAAACAGTTTGTCACAGGAGCTCAGTCCTTGGTTTCTGGTCTTCTCTGTCATGTTTTTGGAGACTTGAGAAGAGAACTTCCCATGAATAAATAATTAAATGAAAGCTCTTAGCATTTTCAAGGGAACCACAATTCTAATTTAAATTAATTCCTGTTGGGTGGATACTGCATCTAACAGTTTCCAAGAATCTGGTTTACACAACTTACAAAAAAAAGTGCATTTTGAATAATGCTACACACCCCAGCCCCTGATGGAGTTACTGACATTTACCCATTGATTGATGTCATCAGGTGGGGAAGCGCTTGGGGATCAGGAGGCAGCGCTCCTCCTAGGTGTAAAGAGGATGGGGTTTCAGGGGTGACACCAGGTTTGAATCTGGACTAACTGTGCCATTGGCTGTCAAGGCTCTTTATATCTGTGAAATTCCATGACCTCGTCCGTGACCTGGGAAAGCTAACCACCTCATGGTGTCTTGGTGAACATCTGGTGGATTTTAGGGTCCTAAAAAGGATAGCTGCTGTTATCCAGATTCTGATTCACAGAATCTGCAGCTGAAATGAACCTGGAGGCCTAATAATTCCCTCGGTGGGAACAGCCTCTCAGTGGTCAAGGTTGGAATTCCAGGCCAACTCCATGCCCTCTCAATAGGCAGCCCCACTACAACCTACCTGCTTTTCTGCCTCTTTATAATTGTACCCAAGGTCCCATTTGCCTTTCCCACCAACACACACCCTCCACACCCCCCCACACCACACACACACACACACACACACACACAGCATCATGCAACAGCATTCAGCAAGCTTCCTCTGCTCTGCTTTCTCCTCATAGGAGTAGGGAAACAGGTGCTGATGTTACTAATTTCAGATTCTGCAGAACCCCAGATTTCTCTGTCTCAGCCAGCATGTGGCCAGACTCTCCCTCTTTTACCTCCTCTAATCCTTCCTTTCCTCAAGTGTTTGGCACCCTTGCATCTTCACTGTCAGGCCTAGGGAACCCAATGCTCTCCTTGGGGTATTCTGCTGAGCACATTTAGTCTCTACAACATGACCCAAAGGGCAATTCCTTAAGATTCTAGATCCAGATGTGTGTGTATAAACTCACAATATACTCCAAAATTTAAGTCTCCCTCTCAACCCCCAGTCCCTTCTTCCCCTACTGTTAATAGTTTATTATCGTTCAGAGACACTGTTATTTACAAAACTTTTGTGTCTCCTTCCTTTCTTGTTTTTAATCATTTTTTCTCTTTCCTCACTTTCTTCCTTTCTTCTTTTTTCTTGTTAATAAAAACATATTACATTGTTAGATGCCTTGCTTTTTTTTAACTCAACAAAATTGGTATGAAGTTTAAGGCTACTTTTTTTTTTTTAAAAAGATTTATTTATTTATTTATACAAGCACTGGGTACAGTCAGAAGCGCGGGAGGGTGAGAGAATTCACCAGAGCCAGAGCGGGGAGCAGAGCAGGCAGAAGGACCGAAGTACACTGCTGAGGGGAGCAGCGGGCGGCTGGAGAGGTCTGCGTGCCATGTGGGACCCTCCTCTAGTGGCAGGGGAACAGCCAGGGATGGAACCGGTGCTGCAGAAGCTGCAGGCAGCTTTGCAACCCAGCGCTCAACCGCTGCGCCACTGGGGAGGCCCCATTTAAGCCTACTTTTAAAGTTAGACTTTTCTGTCCTTTGAACAGTGGTCTCCAAATCTTTATGCTATCGTCATTCCTATCATTAGAAAATTATGGAAGGCATACCAAAAATGTAATCTTTCATTCATTTATGAAGTATAACCATGATACTATATACTATTTCAAGAAACTTTAAAAAGATACAATAAAGGTAAAATTTTAAAAGTTAATTTTTAAAATTGTTTTATTTTTAGTGGTATGAAATCTTTTTGCATCCTGAAATATTACTGTTAATATTTTTAATAGGATCAATTTGTTGGCGATGCTTTGTCATTTCTGAAAAATTTTTGTGATACAGCAAATCAAATATCTACTTATTTGTTCAGCTTATTTTGACTTGGTTTCAAAGGCCATCTGAACTGAAAAAGGTATTTCACCAAGATATGCATATCCAAATGGCAGAAAGCCTTCATTAGATAACCTTTATCAACTCCCCCCAAACTCATTTTTCAATCCAATCTATCTTTTATGCAAAGATGTTTGTTGAAAATTTCCCTGATTCAAGGGTTTTGGATTTTTCCCCCTGTAATATATGCACAATGCATGGAAACTCATCCAAACATCTGTTTTCAAAATACTCTTGCCATAGACTGAGCTTCTTTAGAAAAGAAATTACATTCTTACGATTGTTAAAGTATCACTTCTATCTTGAAAGGACAGATTGTGTTTACTTTTTAAAAAGTATCTGCTAGATGACATTAACAATAGCCACTTGCCAGGACAGAAAATAACACCTCGTTTTAAGATTTGTCATTTTGTCTAAGAAAGAATGCATGACTTGTTCTCAGATTCAACAATTCTTTTGAATTATGGATTTTATGGATTTTAAGTGGAGCACATTCCAAATCACATGGCAAAGTGTTACAAAGATATTGATATTTGAAGGTTTTCTTTTTATTAAATTAATCATATTAGTAGCATCCTATCAGCATGTAAGTTGCAGTACTTGGCAATATGTCAAATCCCAAACCATGAGAAGATGTCTCACTTCTCTTTTCCACAACCCCACCCCTGTGAAAGCTGTCTGCTGACAGTAATGACAGTCACAGGAGACATGCCCCATGTCTGGACTTGGGAGGGCACAGTGACCATTTGGCATTAAATATTAGTTAAACTTAATCTCATTTGGAATGAAACAAACACAGGTTGTCTACTCTTTTCTCCCTAGACCTCATAGATTGTCTAGAGCATCTCATGTTTATCCCACTTGGAAATTCTTTTTGTTTAAGGATTTATTTATTTATGCATACAAGAACTAGAGTACAGGCCAAAGGTGTCAGGGGTGAGGATTCACCAGAGACAGAGTGGGGAACAGAACAGACGGATTGACCAAAAGATACTGCTGAGGGGAGCAGTGGGCGAGCCAGGAGAGGTCTGCAGTGCCATGTGGGTATCTCCTTGGCCAGGGATCAAACTCATGCTGCAGTGGCTGTGGGTAGCCTCACAGTTTGCGTCTTAACCCCTTGCACCATCAGGGAGGCCCCTCCCACTTGGAAATTCTGAAAGGACAAAGGATTTTCTCAAATTAAATCCAAAAACTTGTTTTCCTTTAGTCTCTGAACTACCTTCTTTTAAGTAAGAGACCTTCCATAGTCAGTATCCATAGCACTCTAGGGAGGGTTCGAGGGAGTTGGGAAGGATTGGTCTGGGAAGGCTTGGCAAGTTGCCCCCCTCCCAATATGTCCCAGTATCCTAATGCCTGGGACAGAGAGGTAATAAAAAGGACATCATCTACCATTTCCATTTATTGAGTTATTAGTGTTATTCCCTATGCTAAGTGTTCTACAGACATGGTTCTCTTTGTTAGCTGTAGTTATTTTCTCTTACCTCACTGGAAACACTGAATTAGAGAATTCTGTCCTGTTGCTCCTAAGGGAAAGAAAGGATTTGATTCCTACTGGCCATTGGTCACATTTTTGTCAACCAATCAATACCTAACCTTGTTTTGTGTGTTTCTGTTTAAAGGCCACTTATTTAATATTTATTGTTGGTTTGTTAACGTTGAATTCATGGGACAGCACTAGAGCTCATGCCTGAATAAAGCCTGCCTGACACACACATTTCCCTCTAAGACATGTGACAGCTGTCTTGCTCATAGAAATACTAGACAGCACTTTGGCATCCTACTTAGAAGCCCTGTTAAGCAGAAAACCACCAACAAAAAGCAGCAAATAAAACAGTTATATGTTTGCAGCATGAGGTTGAAATAAGAAGGCAGAGCAGAGCCTTGTTTACTCAGCTGAGAACATGCACATTTGGCCACTCAAATTTTTCATCATTGCATGTTCAAGAATGACTGCAAAAGTGAGAATTGGCATCAGGGTTTCAAGTAAATTTTCAGTGAGTAGGTGAATACAAATACCGACACCATGGATAATGATGATTGATTAGTGTCATCTCCTGTGCCTTACTAATTAAGTACTATCACAAATGATATGTGAACTGGAAGGAACCTCAGAAATCTCTTCTGGCTATTTTTGACACTTTGGGAGGCTAGCACAGTGAAGTGACTTATCCAGAAACATTCAGGCATGTGTCACCCACATGGAACTAACTCCCCCATTTCACAGCCACAGTTGATGCCCTTTCCAATACATATTTATTGGACCAAATGTGATTACTTTAACTTGCAGATGGCGCTGTATGAAGATTCTTGCATACTTCAACCATTTTATTCTCTGCAATGATTAAAATATACTTTCAAACCAGAATGTTTGAATTAAAGACTTATAGTATATAAGCACAATGAAAAATATGCATACAACACAAAGGGAAGAAAACCTGAATGAAATCAGATACAAAATGAGAAATTAGTAAAATATTTGCAGCAAGAACAAGCTTTGACTTTTTAAATTGAGTTATCCAGTGAGCCAATTCTTAGATGGGTAATATGAGAGGGAAATGATGTGGAAAAGCCAAATGTGCTAGAGAATTTGAGAGATATGAACACATGATACATAAATAGAAAAGATGTGCCAAGATGTGATATTTTAGTTGGAAAATTACTAATGTATGCATATTTATAAATGAATGTGTTTTGATGCCAGATTATCTCAAATTTTTGTTGCTAGTCACACAATTATACAAAATTAGGTTATTTTTTATTTGGCTTAAAGAAGTACAGAATTTAAAACCCAAATTAAAAATGGCTCATAACTAATGTGGCCTGCAGGCTATTAGATGAATGTGTATATTTCAAATGAACCAACAAACTCAAAAAAAAGGAGAAAAAGCAAATTCAGTATATTCTCTGGATAAGATCCTCTGCTTGTTATCAATCAATTCATACAGCATCTGAATGTATAGCATCTAGTTCTAAAAATTCCAAGCTACCTTTCATGGTAGACTTTCTACATACCCAAGGCTGGCCCCTACCACTATTATAACTCACTCAGTACTGTTTTTATCCAATAACATTTACAAAACACCTTCACATGCATGGTTTGACAAGCTTCTTGACTGAAGACCATGTTGTTACAACTTTATTCATTTATTACACTTTTTTACATATTCTTGGAATTAAAATTTCTATCCAAGACCCTAATATCCCATTTAACCAATTCTATCTGAATTGGTGTCTCAGAATCTACTCTTCCATCCTTTAAGTTAAAAGATGTAATTCCCACTCATGCACAGCATTTTCTTAAAGTAATGGACCATCTCTCCTCAAAACAGAACTCGGTTGTTACAAGGAAAAGTTTTTATTGCTGAGAAACAGTTTTCAGATATAAAAAAGACAATCTTATTTCTATAACATTTTCAATTTTGAAAATTTTCAAAGATTAAAATCCTGAAGTGCCCTGTTTTAGGAAAGCATCTTCATCATAAGGATCCCACCCTCTTTCATAAATGAATCGATTAATCATGTCAAAAGCTCTCAGAGGCTGGTCATATGGTAAAATGTGTCCTCCACCTCGGACAATAACCTGAAAGGAGAAAAAGAAAAAAAGAAATTTAGAGGAGGAGATAGTCTAAATGAATGAAAGGTTTAACTCATATTAAAATAGACTTAAAACTTACATGTAACCCAGACATGTTTTACCAATCCATATCTTTGTGTAGGCTCATTGTCTTATTTTTTGATAGCTTTAATAATAGGTGAATCAAGGTCGGAAAGATTTTTTTAAAAGATTTATTTATTTATACAAGAACTGGGGTACAGGCCAGATGCATGGGAAGGTGAGAGGATTCACCAGAGACCGAGCGGGGAAAAGAACAGGCAGACTGACGAAATACACTGCTGAGGGGAGCAGCGGGCGAGACAGGGGAGGTCTGCTTCGCCATGTGGGCTTCTCGCCAGCTGGCCAGGATAGAACCCACGCTGCAGAGGCTTTGGACAGTTTCACTGTGCGGCGCTCAACGGCTTGCGCCACCAGGGAGGCCCAAGGTAGGAAAGTTTTTATATGATTCTCAGAGACCCCTGGAGGATGGGTTCTAGGATCGCAGAGAACAAAAAAATCTGTGGCTGCTCTTACATAAAATGACGTATTTGCATATAACCTTCACACACCTTTCTGTCTAACTTAAATCACTTCTAGATAGCTTATAATATGCCTAACTGCATAGTATTTTTGATCCCTGGTTGGTCGAATCCACTGATGCAAAAAAATCGGCAGTGAAATTCTCACACAGTCACTTCCAGATGCTGAATCATCCAGCAATGAAAGGTCACTTTGCTGAGGCCATTCACGAGCGCCAGAGCTCCTTTTACCTGTCTCAGTCAGAAGAAAACTGAGACAGGAAACAAATACAAATATATTGCATTTTTTATACCAACCCCCTAACATCCACCATCTTACAATCTCGTGGTGAGGTAAGTGGGCTCACGTTCAATGAATTGCACCTGGCAGGGCACAATTGTGTAGATTGTGCCTTGTACTATTGCAGAGAACACCCTTCACTTCAGCCCTGAGGTGACTGAGCTTATCCAAGTCACAAAACTGTGAGAGCTCTACTTAGAATGTTGGCTTCCAATGTAAACACTAGCATTTTAAATCAAATCATAGCATTTGCACAATAATTTCTTACATTTGAACCAAACTTTATGGTTTAGTCACAGAATATTTCTCCATAGTGTTCTGTGGTAGGTACAGGAGACAGAAAGCCATGGACAGGTGACACCTCAGACATCTGCATTAGCTAAACCCCCCTCAATGGGCATCTGTACCTCTCTGCAGAGATAATGGAGCCCAACTACTGTTTGTGTCTGAACTTGCATCTGGAAACCCAACATGTCTCACTTTTTGTCCCAGGTTGAAAGCAAACATATGTGTGACAGAGCCCATGTGTGCAACTCTGGAGGAGAGCTTTTGCTGCTTCCACAGTCCCAGGCTAGAATAGTCTTGTATATTCCCATCCAAACGTCAGGCCTTGGCAGGAATCTAATGAGTGATTCTTGTGCAACCTCAGCTCAGCTAAGGACATTTAACAAAATCATGTTTGTGACAAAACCCAGCTGCTTCAACTGGAAATGAGCTTGGCAGGAATGGTCCAGAACAACAATAAAGTGAATACCCAAAAGCAAAAGGTCACCCTGTCTCCAGGATGGAGGATCAGAACTGTGCTCGTGGAGCGGAGCACAGTACTTTATGGCTGGGCTCAGGAGTCAGAATATAGGAGGAGCATGACTCAAGGAAAGAAGCTATGTGACCTTGGACAATAACTTGAGTGCTCTGAGCCTGTTTCTTTCACTGTACAATAGGGAATATAATATTACCTCTTGAGGTAGTGGTGAGTTCTTTGAGGAATTAATGGAATAATATCCATGGGACACTTAGCATAATACCTTGGCTGGAATGATACTCAATAGATATTAGCCATTGTCGTTATTCTTCCAACAATCATCTCATTCAAAATGCAAGATCAAAATGCTTGTACCAACCTAACTATCCTAAAACACTGTGTTCTTACTTTAGCATCAAAAATCTCAATTGAAGGGCGTTCTTTTAAACGGGGGTCTCAAATGCAAGCATGCATAAAAAGACCTGCATTTATTAAAACAAACTGTTAGGCCCCCTCCCTAATGAGGGAGAATACTACTAGAAATTTGTTTATTAGCTACTCCCAACCTCACCTTAGTTTATTTCTTCCTGATCATCCACTCTTTGGATATTTACACACACAAACACACACATTCACATACCATGTCCCTGACAATCAAGAGGTGAAGAAGAGAGCATGGTGTTAAAATCCTTACTCACTCTGACATACCTGATGCTCCCTCCCATTCTGAGCTGCCATAGGCTATGACCAAAGGACATCATAAACAAAGCCATTAAGACTGGAAAGTAAAGCTCATTTGGGAGCAAAGTCTCTCACATGCCACAAAATTCCAAAGTATGTTCTCTAGCAAATCCATTTAGTTATTTTACTGATGTTAACCTCAAAAATAAATTTACAAGCACTGAAAAAGAAGATTCTCTGGTGTCTAGAACCAACCTGCTAACCTCTCACAGATCACTCTGCAGCTTTTAGAGGTGAAACAAAATGTGACAGGGCTGTGACTACATATTTAAATGTGACAAGATGAATCCCCAGGCTCCCTGGATAGAAACAGTCTAATCATCAGAACTGTGCATTTTGGGTGTTCCCACATTACAACTGAAACCTCTAAATTCATGTGTTCCAGATGTTGCAGGGGGTCACAAATGTGTCATGAATTATAAAAAAGTTATACAAACCTTTTAAAGCTTCATCCACTTATATTTTAGAAAATGATACAATTCTCCCTGGGGCTGGAAACATGGACATGGCAGGAAAGTTTCCCGGTTGTGTCTTTTGAGATGATGATGTATAGAGGGAGACTCAGGTGGGTGCGATGATGTCGTTATGTTGGAAGAGACTTTGTGGGGGTCTTGGAGGAGCAGATCACTGGAAAGACGGTGGTGGGTGCAGTGGGGGAGGGAAAGTAATGGGACATGAAACTACATGACAAGAGGGTCCATTTTTGAAGAGTTAGAGGGAAAACCAGGCAGAGTGGTGGGGGGAGGTAAACACAAGTGGGACAGTGTTGTACTCCTTGTGACACGCTGCTGGGATGTGTGGAACCTGTCCTCTGTGTGCGTGTGTGTCTGTGTGCATGCTATAAATGACTGTTCTAGCACTTTTAAAGTGAATCATTCACTTCACTTTAAAACTCAGGACACTCACTCTGTTGTTCCCAGCACCACTTGCAGAATGTTTTCAGCATTCCAGAGGAGCCCTACCCATTACCAGTCTCTTCCCATTGCTCCCTACCCGCCAGCCTCTGGCAATCAGAATCTGCTTTCTTGTCTCTGGATTTGCCTATTTTAGACAGATGCTAAAGGGTTTTTAAGGATTTTAAATATAGATTTGCAATATAGAAAAAGTACTTACCTTAGTATGTAACGAGGGAGCTGACTTAGAAGGGAGCTATACCCAGGCAGGGAGGGAGGCAAATAAGGAGACTAACTGAATGAGAAACAATATAGGCTCATAAGAGAGATGGTGAGAAGAGTATGGAGAAGGGGATGTCAGGGTAAAACCAATAAAATTTGTGATTAATCAGATGTAAAGGTTAACTGACAGTACCCTCTCCACCCTGACACACACACATCCTCCTTATTTTAAGCTTCTGACATGGGCAGTTTTGCACGGGGTGGTGCTGTGAACCAAGAAAGAAGAAAAGAGCAGCAGGGAGAAGCAGGTTTGGGAGGCAGACAATCCAGGATAGATATATTGTTCCTGTTTTCCACTACAGTATGGTGCAGACACTTGAGAATCTTGCTTGTTATGGTTTCTGATTTATACTAAAGTTCTCTTACTATTTTTATTCCATTCTATGTTTTAAAATCTTACTTTTAGCCTTCAGACACTAACCATTAGTAGAAGTGATATAAATATATATACGCTCAAATAAAAAATATATATACTACAAAAGAAAACATACTTGGGAATGAGAATAAAAACCAGCCACAACCTAACAAAGAATGAGACAAATCACCTTTGAAAAAAAAGCACAAATCAATGCTCAGATTTGCTCCCACAACACTTGGGTAAACCATCCTTGAAATTTATCATGCCACACTTCTGGTGTGGCAAGGATTATTGAATAGGAGGGGGAAAGGTGCGGTCACTGACCTAACTGTAGTCATCACAACGGTACCATTCCTAGGAGCAGTCGATACAGAGCTGGTTCCCCAAGGCTTCCTAGATACAACATCCTACTACGTCAGTTGCAGCATTACTGTACACTCTGGATATGATACAATAGCATGCATAAAACCAATCCCACTTCATAAGAACAACAATACGAGTTGAATTTAAAAAGAAAAGAAAGAGGTGTAAAAATATCAATAGGCAACCAGGACTTGAGAGACCAAAATCATGGAGAAAATCATGGAGAACTGCAGAGAAGTGAACCTAACACTTCGAGTCACATTTCCCTTTGGTAAATTCACCCCTTTTTAAACTTCGCTGGCAAGAATGCAGACAAGCACAAGAATGTGAGCCAAATGTGACAGGTGAAAGATGAAACGCTAAGAAGAACTTTTAGTAGTTTATGATGATTGGGAAACCAAAAGACAAAAAAACAAAACTCCCAAAGACACAAAAGGCAAAATTTGGAATCACAGGCTTCTCAAGGAGTCAAGTCATGGTAAATACCATGAGCTTTTTGTTAGATCCATGAAAGACAAGGCCTTAGAAGTAATGAAAACCAGAAGCAGGTTAGCCCTCACAAAACCTGAAATCCAGCACCAAATCATCGTTTCAATCTCTAACTGAATCAAGTTGATCTGCCCCTACTCTAACTGCCTTCCAGAAAAATCAAATCCTCTGCAGGAAGATAACATCTTTTTGCATATTTTTTTTCATACATTTTATTCAACATTCGACAAAATTTAGGCATGCTGAAAGCCAAGATGATCTGTCTAAGAACCAAGGAGGAAAAAAAAGCAGATTTTTG